CCAACACACACGAACGCGCACATGACCAATGAGGGCACGAGATAAGTTTGTGCACAGATGGAAGGCTGACAGGCAGGTAGGCCATCCAGTTATTTTAGTCGGGGCGGCTATAATGATTGGTTGTGCTTTTTACAGTACCACGGCTTCCACAGATGACATTTTTTAATGGATTTTTTGTCAAAGCACTAAGATATCCATTGCTATCGGGATGTTAAGAGCATTCCATGGAATATAACAAAAAGTGTATTTTGAGCCGGTTTCTCAAATTTACCTACCCCACCTTTAATGTGTAATTAATTAAGCATCAGTTAAGCCAAGTGAATGAATATTAAAAATCAATTTAAATTCATTAATGTAATTCTTTCTGTTTTGTTTGTATAACTTGTTTTTATTGATGTTTCTCACTCTACTTTACATTTTTATTGTCTTGTTATTGTTTTTTGTATATTATCTCTTGCTCTGTAAAGAAAAATAAGCTGGGCTGAATCTTGCATTAAAGGTGCTATATAAATAAAGTTATTATTCTTCATAGAAAACGGGACAGAGTATTGTTACATTAATGTTATAGATAGTGAAGCCCTATCATATCAGATATAGTTTATGATCACGAGTACAGTCTAGTTAACATCGCGAGTACGAAACATAGGTACGAAAGCACGCCCTCCAAGGGCATAACGTCATTTTTCTTTATGAATTGCATCGTGGGGAACGACTTACATTATGATTAATGTAATACGCCTCTGCCCTCAGAAACGGACCGTGGCTGCTGAATAATAAATACCCTGAACCCGCCCATTTAATGTTTATTGATCAGTTCTCCAGCAGGCCCATCTGACAGCAGTCAGATTCAGTCTGGATATGGCGTCGCTGCAACGACACGGGATGAATGTGCACCGCTCCGTGGGAATTTGTCAGTCGCGTACCGGGACGACACTTCTTGTTTTTTGTCGCTTTTAATAGGGATTATTCATGGCGATGGAGGACGAGGATAATAATTCAGCGGTCGTGGCGACTAACACCCAAACAGGCATCAAGAAAGGAGGTGATGTCGGAGATAACGGGGCTTGCATTGACAGGCAGCCGGACACGGTGCTCCACCGAGCGGGGCTGAATCAGACTGCAGGTCGCGGCAGCCGCAGTGGTCCCGGAGCTCATGCTGCGACGGGGATCCGGGTGCTAAAGGCAAGTCAAAACGACAGGATTTATTTACTTGTGATGCAGCAGGGCATTCAAACAAGGTGCTCCACAATTATGTCAATATTGTGTTACATGTCAAGGTTTTCTTACATTGCAGTTGGTGATTCAAACAGGGCAAAGTGTAATAGTATGTAATGGCAGTGATACCCAGTGATTGATATTCTCTAGTTACTGATTGATCTGTAGATTATTGCCACTCGGTGAGGAATGTACCAGAGCCAATTAACACACACACACACACACACACACACACACACACAGTGTAGGTTGTTAGGGCTTTTATAGGAAGGCCCACTGCTGAACAGTTCTATGACATTTTAGGGCAAGACACATGATGTGTAATGACATAAAAGTCCCTGAGGTAGCTGCTTCACAAGGCAATGATACACATTACACACACACACACACACACACACACACACACAATCTCAGCGTTGCTCTTCAATTAATGTGTATGCAATGTTGAGATTTCTCGTGTATCTAAAGGAAGAGCGTCACCCTGTTAATAAGCTCACTTAGCTTAAGTGAAATGTTAAAATATTTATTCTAACAGAGCCCATTGACCCGTAAAACAGTCAATGCGAAGGCAACTTGTCTTTTTCATGCTATTGGAGTTTTGCTTTTGAGTATCAGTGAGAAAATGCACCCGGGTGTGTTAATTTAATCAGGGGTCACATCCAAATCCCACAGATACAGTAAGTGTTACAGTTACTTTCTGTATCATAATGAAATGACTAGCTTTAAAACTGAGCAAGGGTAAGGGGGTTCTGTTATTATTTTACTTATCTGTCCATTTCTCATTACATTTACAGTATATTTATCTTATCCTCTCTGACTTGACTGAACATGCATGCTCTCATTCAGCCTGGCCCTGCCTCACATATCCTCACCTGGGAGCTGCCCTGTGTTTTAGTCACCTGGGTTTACCTCTGAGGTTTCCACAGCAGCAAGCTTAGACCTTAGACACACCTTGATGATAGCTTATGAGGAAAGGGTATATGTCTTCATTCTTTCCCTGTGGCCATTCTTCATCAACAGGTGGGAAAATTAAACTAGCCTTTCTCTGTTTACATTCCTGCCTCTCTAACCTCTGGAATAATCAATCCCCTACATGCAGGACCTATTTAGGAGTGAAAGTGAACGTTTATTATTGACCTTGAAAATAGAAGTTTAACAAAATAATCTTAGGTAAGGTTCCACTCACTAGCTTAAGCCGAGTATACTTAATTTGTAGACCAAGACGTGTGTGTGTGTGTGTGTGTGTGTGTGTGTGTGTGTGTGTGTGTGTGTGTGTGTGTGTGAAATTAAAATGTTCCCTTTGTGGCTTAGCTCTCCAGACCAGTATATCAACCCCCCATTACTGCAGCCACAGTAGCTGGTACAGCAGACCTTTCCTTTACTCACCAAACTACTCTTTCTTCTGACATTTCCCAGAGAGACCCAATTATTTTGAAGTGTTCTTCCTTCACAATCAGCAGAAAATTGCTCAAAGGCCATCTGAATAGCACCAATGAATGAGGCCCAGATAAAAACATGTTCTATTAACATTGGTGACACCTTTGAATCACCAAACTAGATGAATCTCTTGGGGTCAAGGTGCGTCATTTACAAACTGTTGAGTGTGCATGCGTGTATGTGTGTGTGTATAATGCAAAGACGACATGCAGTGTCATGGTAGTGATGATTGGATATCCTTACAAGACAGGCTGACTTTAATTTTTAGCACAGTATTATTCCTTATTAATGTCAAAATCTGATATTTTAGAATTGCATCATTTAGAGGAGCAAACAACAACATGATATTCTGGTACCTGTTCGTAACACAGTCGCAAAGTCCATCCTCAGCGAGAAAGGTACTCCACTGGTTGCAAGAAGAAGTGTTATGGTATAGTTTCAAGCCTTTTTTATACAGCATTATGTTCATTCAATTTCAGATATGTTTGTCTCATTTTTAGGTTCTTTAGGCACATTTTAAGTTCCAGTACTGACACAAAAAGCCCTAAAACCATTTTTTTATGAGAATATATAGATACTTGACACGTTTACAATTTGCATCTACCAGCACAGATGTTGCATTTAGGTAGACCCATAACACCTTTAAGTACATTTCGAAGCATCCTTAAGTTCTTTAGGTTGTTAACATGTTTATGGTGTCAATCTGTGTGTTAAAATGACTCTCTCTGTGTCAGCAGCGCAACATGAAGCGGAATGGGAGTCGTGGCTGTGTGACGAGAAAGACCAGATTTGGATCAAGAGAGCGAGACTGGCTGAAGGGGGACACCCAGCGGGGCTGTGTGTGTCTTTATGGGGGGACAGTAGACCCCCAGCCACCTGCCTCTGGCCCACAGGCCCCCTCCACCCCTCAGACAGACCTGCAGCTGGTGCTCTGCTCCACCAGTACCACAGTGGAGGAGCTGTGTGCTCAGAGGGACGGACAGGGGCTCTACGTCCAGCTGCATGGAGACCTAGTCAGGTAAATATGCATTAAGGTCATTAATGTGAAGTTAGCCTTTATAGATTTCCTGTGGGGAAATGTGTTCCCTCCATTTAAGACCTTTGACATAACATACTCATCACAGACTGTAGTTTGGATGTGTGTGCCTTTCTTGTTCAAGGGCCATGGCAGGAGTATCCCAAATACCCTGTACCTCTTTCAAAGCAGCAGAGTGAAGCGGGTTAACTATGGATGGGCAGCCACATGCATGCACAATCCAAGAGCTACAATCCTTCATCATCAGTGTCTTCATTCGATCTATTCAATACAGTACTGCTGTGCACTCCAAACATTCTGACAGCTCACATTCGCTGTGTAATCATGTTCATACACGGAAATGTCTAAAATGAAAGAGATATTAGAGAAGAAATGACTTGAAGCGTAAAGAAAATGCTTCGGCTTGTACAGTTGAAAGATGAGATTGGTTTAGAGCTGCACTTTAAGTGTGTTGGCTCTATGAAACCTGATGTACTTATATGATTCTGTTTTCCTCAAGTTTGTATCTTCCTGGTCGAATGCACTTATTGTAAGTCGCTTTGGATAAAAGCGTCAGCTAAATGCAATGTCATAGTTTTAAATCGAAGCATATCTCCTCCACCGAAAACACAACAACACATCTGATATTCTGTACTGTAACAGCTAACAAAGGCAATCTGAAATAAATGCATTTTTAAATAAACGCACAAATCTCCTCCTTATTTATATGATATACAAACTATACCAGCCATACACAGCACTGAGAACCTGCTGCAGTTACTCCAACGTCCCATAGTCTCACAGCACCTCACTCTGGATGCCCTCAGGGAACATGGCTGTACGCCTCTCGGCTCCACGAGACATATGTCAACGGAAATAGCAAATGACCCCTTTATTGTCTGTGAGAGAATAAAAAGCTGGTTCACTGATCCGTGACCAGGAAGGAATCTGGGCTGCTTCTCTGGCAAAGACAATGTGTATATGCAGGGACTAAAAAGAAAAAACAGATCCAGCTTAAATAACGGTGGCTTATGGAATATTCCATAAGAGCAAGTGATGTTATAGTGCCACGTTGTTTATGATTTCAGTATTAATGGCGTGATAGTACCATGGTCATGATGCTGATAATGTGCTGAGAACTTGACTGGAGGTTGTTAATCAATGTATAGGCTGTTAACCAAAAGTTGGATCCGCTTACAGCATATGATCAGACTTCACTATATCTATGCTGTTTAAAGACGGTGGGCATTGCAGACTGGAAATGTATGAAAGGCTTCTGGTAAGCCTCTGGATAGGCTCTGTTAGTTCAGTTTACATTCCATCAGTACACCATTTAAATTGCAGTCTGCCAGCGAATATGAGCAGGTGGATTTAAATGTAATATTAAAGTCTTCAACATCCCGAAAACTGAATGAATCCATTTTTTATTTGTATAAACAAACATTTCATTCTAAAAAAGAAACAGCACACACCGTAAAAAACAAGACATACATTGTTTGCTTTTATAAAGTTTGTAAAATGCATCACTTGTAAGACCATTTATGATTGACCTTTAAAAGAGGGTTGTAATCCTTTACATAAAACATAATTATTTTTAAACTACTGTATAGTAAAATGTTCTATGTAGTAGTTGATAATACATGCATACACCATGTAAATGAACATACAACATACAACTCTGTTGGCAGCTCTGACACAAGCACTGGAAATAAGGTTTTAAAGGGTTTAGCACAGGGTGGAAAGAATGGGAGCTATTTCTAGTTATTTTTCTTTTTGTAGCTTGTATTAATATGCTGCTTTCTGGAACTCATGGTCTGGGTATTTGCCTGCTTTGGGAACATTGTAATTTCAGTTGAGGAAACTTCCTTTTAAGATACATCTACTGAGGCAACTGAATTGATAGAGGACATCCATCCTTCCATTCATCCATTTCTGAGCTACTCAGGGTCACAGTGCAAACAGAGTGAGCAGAGCATTCCAGTGGTCTTTTTCCCAGCAGCAGACCCTTCCTTGGGGATGCCTAAGTGCTCCCATGACAGATGAGATATGTAATCCCTCCGAATGTTCTGGGTATGCCCGGGGATTCCTCTCAGTTTGTCATGGACACTTCCAGAGGGAGATTCCCAGACATTTTCTACTGACTCCTCTCAGAGGAGATAGCAGCTTGATAACATGGGCCTCCCAAATCAGGAAGCTCCTCCCTCTGAGATTTAAAGTGAGGCCAGCTGCCCTGCAGAGGGATCTCCTCTCACCTGCTTCTATCTACAATCTGCAAGGCGAGGGCCCAGACCAATTTCAATTCAAGATTACCCTTGTGATTGGTTCTGAAAGAGCAGAGAGATTATCCTGCAGGATCAGGACAGAGTGAAAGGAAGGGGAATTTCATTAGGCACACCCCAAATAAGTGATGCAGGGCTATTATGTTGTAGGCTCACCACTGGCCAGGTGAAAGAAACAGCTGATGGAGAATGTTTTCAATAATATCGTCATGCAAATACTTTTTATTCAACACTTTACCCTGTAATGATTGCACGATGTGGGTTAAAAATATGTTGGACTGCTATATGGCTAAAGTGTGTGTCCATAAATGTTATACATATCATAACGTCAAATAGAGCCATTTAGAAAAAACAGGCGTGCCCTCCAATAGTGTGATTTGGCTTGTACATTCTAAGTTTTGGAAAACAACACAGTCCTTCTCTCAGCACTTAGTCTCCATGATAAGAAACTGAAACCATGATAAATGATCTATGATTGCTGAGGCATCACATTTCCTGCAAGCTAACCACACGTAGAACACACCCTAATAATATTATCTATCTTTCTTGTTCTTTCAAACCAAGTCAGTTTTGCACATCCTGCACAACCACACCGTTTCCACTCGTTTTGGCTAATTAGAACTCCTCTTAGGTTACGATACGATAATACTTTATTGGTCAGATCAAGTCTGAAATTTGACTTGCGTCACAGCAGCTCCATGTCCAACATCAACAGACAAAGTATCCAGACACAATACATGAAACACAAACAACAAACATTTAACATAACAGCACAATCAGTGAGAGAGAACATGCTCAAGAGCCTTCAGCGTGCATTTGATCTGGGATCAGCTCTGTGTTTGCTGTGAGGATTGACTGATGCACAAAGGAGTGCTTCAGTCTGACTTTATGCTGCTTTCTACTGAGTGGAACCAAGCTTATCAAAATGGTTGTTGTGTCAAGAACATATAAATTAACCACAGTCTATGAACACCCACACAGTCTAAAGTAGTCTAGTTAACCGAATTCAGTAAATTTGCCTCTGTGTACTCAACTGTTTCTGTAAACACGGGCTGCTGGGTATGTCTACAATAAATCAAGGGACACATTTCCATAGTTTGCTGAATAATTTACCTTTCAGCCTAAGGATGGATGAGCCCAATGGAAAGGATTTGAAAGGGATTTAACAGTGTCTTGCTTCATTGCCCAAGGTTGGAGGATTTGTGAATAAATGAGGCGTATCTGTGTTTAATGTGAGCGTCAGTGTGAGTGGTCAACAGGGACGGTCGGGGGTCGTCCTCTCACTGCCGGCCTGCCAGCAGTGGAAATCCAGCTTTTAGGTGTTAAGTGTTGCATCCACAGTTGTCTTTAAATCAAATAACATTATACTTGCAAGTGTATAATTATGATTAAAACATTTCCTTTATGCAGCCAGACAGAAAGCACTAAGGTTTAAGGTTAAACAAGTATGAATATGTACCTTGTTTATTTTTGCTAAATGTGGAAAGAAATGCAGTTTTCAACGAGGGACTTTTAACAGCTATATTCCAATGATTAGATATATCCTGAGGGATGCATATCAATGTCATCATTTCTCATTTATCTACTTATGTGGAGAACCAAATCATTGAAACGGCAGACACCATATCAATCACATTTATGGATTTTGCACAAGTGGATTTTTCGACTTTTTGGTCTGGTAACTTTGTCTCCAAAGGAGGATCCTGGGCGCTGTAACCTCTGTCCTCACTGTATTAACAAAACCCCACCAAAAACCAAAACCAGCAGTAAGGCTGTAGGTCATTTGAAACTTTACACATCTGTAGTGCTTTATATTTAATTTGATGGATCTGCAATTTTCCTATTTAGCACCTCATGAACAAGAAGAGTTTCTTACTCATAGGATTTGGGCTGTCTTTAGACCTTTCTTTAAGAACATTCTGCTGTTCATTAAGCGGGACAAAGGAACAGTTGGTTTGAGGTTAATGCTTCAGGTGTGTGGCGGGCATTGTTACACCAACTTTCCTTTTTCTTTTGGTCCTGTAGGAGGCTGGACCCCTCTGAGCGTCCGCTCCAGATGCTGTATGACTACCTGGCAGCTATGGGCTACGCAGAGCCTGGGCGAGTGCAGCAAGAAGCAGCTAACTCAGACCTCAGCTGTTTGATCCGATTCTACAGTGGTGAGTACTTATCGACTGGGGCCGTCATGCCCAACCTTCACTACCTGCAAAACGTATTTTAATCACATCCTCTTTTGCTCAAGTCTGTGTGAATGGGAAAGTGTGAGTGCATTTTAGGAATGCAACTTTGTTTTCACTATCAATTATTCTGCAGATAATTTCCTTGATTAATTGATTAATCGTTAAGTCATTAAAATGACAACAAATTGTGAGTCAGTTTCTCAATGTTCAAGGTGATGATTTTAAATATTAGTTTTGTCAGTCCAACAGTAAAGGTGTTCATTTTAATATTATATAAAACAGAGAAAAGCAAACATGCCATAGTCAAACAACAATGTTGTATTTAAGAACAGAGATATAGTGTGAGGGTGGGTCTCAGAGCAGATCAGCTGTTAGTGATTGTTTACGGAGGAAATGAAGGGTAAAGTTGTCTCATATTATTAAAATGGCAAGTTAACTCCGTCATTATGGAATTGAATGCAGCAGAGTTGCAGGAAACCTACCCATCACCCTCACTGGATTAGTCACCTAATCGTTGCAGCTCTGTTTCGGGCCAAAAGCGAAGCCAGTTGTTCTTTGAGTTTTCCTGAAAGTGATGCTGAAGCTAGAATTCAATAAAGCCTGGACACCCATCATGGCCTCATGATTAGTGACTGACCATCTCTCATCCTGTGGTGATTCTCTATCCCCATGTGGGCTGCCTTTCACCTGCTGCTGTCAACAGATCATCCCAGGACTAGAGTGACTCAGTACCCCTCTGTCAGTGTGGTATATTAATGCACCAGCAGAATGGACGTAGCTCTCTGGAGAAATGTGTATACCTGCATATGTCTTCGTACAGTTCGTATAAACCCAGAGCCATAACTAGCTTTCCCCTTTCGAGTCTTTGCATTGGTGTCATGATACTCTTACATTGGTAGCAATTTAGGGATTTGCCATTAGGGTGAATTGCGAAGGACGTTCTGTAATGTGTTTCCAGTTGATAAACCGACTGATGTTTCTGCTGAGTCAGTGGAACTCCTTATGTTTGGGGTTTGAAGAGCTCACATGCTGCTTTGCCAGAGAAAAAGGGAGACTGAGCAAACCACGGCTCAAATGTAATTCCTCCCACATTAAGGACACAACTCTCACTACATTGAAATGCGGTGCTGCCACACTGAATAAGTATACAAGCCAAACAAAAATCTCAACAGCTTTGCATTGAAATCTCAGGTCGATTAACTGACTTTGAAGACTAAGCAACACATTTAGGGAAGTACATGCAAACTCTAAACAGAAAAGCCCCATTTCATGCTTGATATAACTTTGAGGGTAGTAGCATGTTTGATGCTTAGTTGAGAAGTATTTCATATGAATCCTAGACTTCTCTGCTGTATAAGATGCAATGGAGTCCAGCTTTATCCTTTCATAAACACATAATGATACACATAGTTATCACTTATCAGAACGCAATTTGGCTATTAAGTTGTAGCTTTCTATATTTCTGACTTCAGCTAACATTCTCTTTATGTCCACCTGGTATCACAACTGTTTTGTTTAGATCTCAAGCCCACTGTGGCATCAGTCTTATCCCTAATCCCTGTGTCTGCAATGGAAGCTTTACTGTTGTTTGCTCCTTGCCAACATGAAAACTGGTCGGATCTTGGCTACTATCAGTAGTCAGACCACATTGGTCAGAGACTAGCCAGGCCCCCCTGGAGACTTCCTGCTTCCTTTTGTCAGCTCATGGGAAAAGAGCACCAGAGACCAGGCATGATTGGTACTTAGGCACTCTTGATGCACCGCCAATGCAGAGAGCTCAACTTCATTTGGCCTTTTTCTTCCCCAAAAACTGTGAAAGTAGTGAGAGCTGTTTTGTAGTATAACTTGCAGGTTGTTGAATTATCTCAGTGTGTTCACCCACCCTCCCCTTGCTGGATTTCAGGAGCTTTCCAGTCACACAGCTTCACTAGAATACCTCAATTTTTGTCTGGCACAATGTAACTGTGGTTTTTCATTCCCACCCACAGTGGTGTTGTAGGTGGGCTGTAATGCATTGTTGAAACACACAACAAAAGCCATGTTCTGAGATCCCTCTCCCAGGTGCTTGTTTATTTCACAGCTGTTTTCAGGGGTAGTGATCTGACTAAGCAGATGGGGAAACTGTGGTCCCTCAGTAGACTACATAACCGCCTGATGTGGTGCCCTGCATGAGTCAGCTGGGGAGTCTACATTACTGGGTCCTAACCTAGGAGCAGTCTTAAAATAAACTTGAGATTGCCAGTTGATTAAAGGGTGTCTTGCCATGCAGATAGTTCTGGTTTTTAGGTATTTGTGGTGCTGAAATAACTGCCAGTGAGATTTATGTCACCACCACAATAGAACAGAGGTGAATGGGTTTTTGCTTATGGGGCTCTTTCACTGAAAACAATTGAACAGCATTGTATTTTTCTCTGGATTATCTGAATAATCCACAGACCACATTGGTCTTCATTTCAATTTCTTCCTGCAAAACAAATAACTGCTGTCTGTTTTATGGCCCAAATCATCTTAAGCCACTTAAGAGTTTAAAGTGCAATGCAGCAGGTAACTCTTATTTGTTCAGGAAACTCATCTCAAACCTTCTCTACCCTCCTGCTTCCCCCCCACGCACTCAACCTCCTGCTGTGGTGCACAGATGAGATGAAAACAAACATGGACAAGGGAGTAAACATTTCTAAATGCTGACTAAATAAAAAATGCTCCTAGTGAAAACACTGCAGAGACCTGAGGGCCAGTGGTTTTATGTGTCGGCCCATGCAGCTGTAGCACAGATGAAGCTTAACTGAGCCCTGCTGCACCTCTGCCTGGGTGATCTCTGTCTCACATGTTTGAGCTCAGAGGCCTGAATCTGCTGGGCACCGTTCACATCAGGCACACTGTCAGAGTCTAAGCAGAAGGAAATAAGTCATCTGGGAAAAGTGTGGACTCGCCTAATAAGTTATTGATTTGGCTGGTGCTGATTTACTATTGGAAATGAAAATTAAATGAAGGCTGTTGATGTCCTAAGCTGTGACGATATGGACGGTGAACTTTATCTGTTACTCCAAGGCCCAGTGGTCTATCACTGAGTAAAATAATAATAATGGCCTGAAGGAACAGACTGAAATCACAGTGGATGACCATGCAGAAAGTTGCTTCTTCGTTTTTATGGAAGCAAAGCAGAAAGACATGGTTTGCAGGGACAAATGGTGGAGCAGCAGTCCGACTGAGGTATACAGTAAGAGAAAAATGAATCTCTGTTGATCCGGGCTCCCACAGAATTGCCCCGAGCAACACACAGAGAGCACAGTTACTCCATGGTTTCCTCACAGCTCCGTGTAACGTGCTGTTTCTGTGATGGGGCTCCATTTCTCCTGAGGATTTTGTCTATTTAATTTGAATCTATCATCCAAGACTCATGGTCAGTTTTCAAGTCAGAAGGCTTACTGCGAATGAAAAATATCCACCATGTGAAAGGTCTGTTTTCATCTGCATTCAAAAACAGCTTTGAGCTGTGCTTCTTCCATCTGTGTTCAGCACAGTGCAGATTTTCTCTATGGTATAAGAATTACATTTTGTACAAAGTTTATATTAGTTTTTTTTTTTTTAAATAGAGGTAAACACAGACCACCAAGAGGAGGCATCTGGGTGGTGGGTTGAATTAGAATTTGCTGCCAAAGAGAGCTTGCTGTTCTGAGTCAAATCAGACTGTGTTTCCGCCTCCACTGACCCCCTACTGCATGCTAACGCAATCTATGCAATCTTGAGCCATACAAAAAAGCTCTGGGATACTGGGAGTATTGTGTTCAACTGAGTGCTCCACAGTTGCCTTGAAATCATGTGATTAATAACAGTTTCAAAAACGTCTAAACTGCCTCCAGAATATGCTCAGATCTAGGGACTAAATGTGTTGCTCAAAACAGATGAACATTGGCATACTGCGTGTTTACCATAAAATAGAAAGAACGACACCTCACGTGTTTCCTTATACCTCATACAGTAATAAATCATTTCAAATACAGATTATTTTTCTATCATAAATACATTTTTAATAGGATTTCAGGAGAATAGACGATTTGGTTAAAATCTGAGTGGCCCACTGTTGCCTAATACTTACTTAGTTCACATGTGTGATGGGGAATTTGATGTATGCTAGTTTATCATTCTAATTAGGAATGCAACTTACGATTAGTTGATCTGCTGACTAGTATGAATGTGTGTCACAATTTCCTAGAAGTCAAGGTATGGCATCAAATGTGTTGTTTTGTTTGGGTTAACAGTCAAATGACCAAAGATAATTTATAGATTTTTCTGGAAGGCATTATTTTAGACACATTCATCATTTTGAGGCTGAAACCATCACAATTTTGGCTTTATTGTTTGGAAAAAAATTCTCAAAAAAACAAACAATATTGGATTTCCAAATATTTATATATATATATAATTCAATTTTCAATTATTCAATATTATAAATTCATATTTAAAGTATTAAACATGAAGATATGCTGTGACCCTCAATATAATGAATATCAGTAACTATTTTGACAAACTGTTTTAGTTTTACCAATCCCTTCCCAGCCCTTCACTATATTCCAGTTTCTCAGTTCGCTTCCTCTCAGCTTTCAAAAGCCAATCACATTCTGTCTTACACTTTTATCATATCCCCCTCTGTTCCTTTTCCCCCCCTTTCTCTCTGTCACCCCTCTCTTCCCTTCTGTTTCTCTGGGGATTGTAATTCATAAGTAATGGAGTAGAATCTGACCTGTTAAGACCTCATTGCTCATCTGGCATGCCAAGTGAAGGGAGAAGGTTGCAGGCGAGCGAAGGCCACAGCCACACATGAGATAAACACAGGAGAGATAAGAAGCCATACCAACGACTCTCTGATCTGTCACTTGTCACACAGTCCCTGTAGTTTGTCCGCCTCTCGAAGGAGGCCACTTGACACATTGATGATTCGTTTAGTGAAGCCTCTCTGTGACCCTGCTCCTCCAGACCCCCGTAGCTTGGACAAAAACATCCTACAACAGAAAACCCACAACTATGTCACCAAACCCCTGTGGAGCCGCTGGGAATGGTCAACATCATCCGTCATCAGAGGGATGGGATTGATTTGGCTGACTCCACAGAGCAGTCAGAGGTTGTAGATAGTCATAGTATGGAGGTTTACCAACTCAGGCTGGACTTTGATTTTGTGAACAACCTGTTTCCGTAGCAACTAATAGCCCCACAGACCTTGAGGGATAGCATGTGTGTGTGTTTGTTTGAAAAGTTGTCTCTTTATGGCTTGTACTCTGATATTGTGTAAATATAGGCAAATTATTTTCAGATGAGTGGTTGTATTGATTGATTTTATGCGCACATGATCAAGCATAGCTCCAGCAAACAACTTATTTAATTGATATCATATTTTACTTATTGATCATTTTGTTGGTCTTATAGACTCAAACACCTGAACATCTATCCATTATAAGAGTAGGAATACACTTTGTAGCTTTATAAATGGCTCAAACAAACTATTGATTGTCAGAGTAGTTGCAGCTTAATGGAATCGACTAATCATTTGACTTCTACTCCTTTGAGCCAAAGGGGCTTTCTTTTTTGGCATGTTTGCTCTTCTTTGACAGACTACGTTATGGGGGAGTGAGAGAGTTATGGCATGCAACAAAGTTCCCAAGGCTGGAACATAAACCAGGACGCTGAAGTTATATTTCATACAATACAACTATCAAGGCATCCCAATGGTGCTTTGACTAATTTGGAAAGCTAATTCTCCCACAGTAGTGCAAATAATTGGTGGTCTGTCTCATATGTATGTATGAGTCAAATAAATCCAGCAAAGAACATTGCAGTGTTTGAATAAAGTGTATAGGTACAGGAGATAATAACTAATATATGAAGATATTTCTTGTTATAGAATGGAAGGTCACTTTGGACATTTTTAACCCAACACCTCCTTGCGGGTTTCACGGTTGAATAGAAAATCCTTCTTGTATAATGGGTGTTAAGAGGATTGATGAGCGGGAACAGACTGTATGCTAGGGTCCTGCAGTGTGGAGTGTGCTTGTTTCTGGTGATACACTGTGAAGCCAGTGAGAGCATCTTGTCAACCTGTGTCAGTTCGTAGCGAGTGGGTGCGTGATTATGAGTTTATTGATTTGTGCGGTGCAGTGGGCGAGTGTTTGCTTAATTACTTGTTTTAATGGGTTTATTCTAACTTACCCTCTCCACTGTTGTCTATATTACGGAAAAGCTTTGATGTTGTTGAAAGTACACTACAATTGCAAATACTCTATTGAAGTATATGAAGGTATAATTTGTTGTAGTATCTCACATGGAAATGTAAGATGTGTGTGTGGATTCATTGCATGGCAAGAGCAGTGACAGTACATTCTAGTTTGAAATATCAAAATGATATTTTTCAGGCAGATGCCATTTGCACCCGGGTGTCCGTAGCTAGCAATGCTATTTACACCCGGGTGTCCGTAGCTAACAATGCTATTTACACCCGGGTGTCCGTAGCTAACAATGCTATTTACACCCGGGTGTTCGTACTGTAGCTAACAATGCTATTTACAGCTGGGCTACACATTAGATACTGTT